AAACCTTCTTAATACTATTCACTCAATGTCACAATCTTAACTTTAAGACTTGTTATTGGAACGAAGTATGATAGACTTCTTGATTTAACCATTTCTTCAATCCTTGATTCCTCTTCTTAAACATACAATTGTACCAAGACTCACTTAGAGGATCAATTGAGATATGGTTCTTAAGACACATTATAAAGCATAAAAGCTACTCTCCCTTCTTCTTATAATGGAGAAACTTTTATCTTTCTACTTGATTCTTCTTATTCGTTCTACTATTGATTTAAACATTTTCAATCAATTCAGAATTACACTTAATCTTATAAGCATAATTATATTTACTAAACCTTTAGTAAACCATGACGAATATCTTTATTACTCTTATGGTGAACTTGATCAACACACAACTTTGTGCACTCGATCTCCTAGTCCTTTACTTGACACTTTGTCAATGAATTAGTCTAATTTCCAAATACGTAGTTTCTCATTCATCGTGCATCCACGTTGCATGATTCCAAGTTTCTGTCCAATTGAAACTTCACTACTAGAAAAACAGCCTTTTACGACGCTCATTGCGCGTCGTAAAAGGCTCAGACGACGCGCAAATGCGCGTCAAGGAAGGCCCTGTCATAAAGAGAGACGACGCACTTTTGCACGTCATCTATAGACGACGCGCATTTACGACGCTCATTTACGACGCACAATTACGACGCGCGTTTACGACACGCAATGCGTATCAAGGAAGGCCCTGTCATAAAGTAAGACAACCCGCATTCGCGTGTCATAACCTTACGACGCGCGTGTTAATGACACACAATGCGTATCAAGAAAGCCCCTGTCAAGAAAGGTCATGTCATAAATGAAGATGACACACATTTTTGCGTATCATAATTTTAAATGTTTAAAAAATATATATTATTTATAGATTTTAAATTAAATTTTCATTTAATGTATCATAATAGAAATAAAATACCATATACAAAAAATACAATCCACTACATAATATAAAATAAAATTTCATACACAAAAAATAAAATAAATTGCACAAATTATAAAATGTCATACAAATAATCATTCAAATGTTAAACAAAAATAATACATTGCTAACATGGGTTATATATTCCTATAAAACTATCAAATAATCATCCAACTCTATTTCTTACTGGAATATGTGTGTAATTGTCTCCTTCATCAGCCTCCATGTCCCAAGTCGGATCTACCTTCCTTATCTATATGTATAACAAAGACACATAAATATATTGTGAATTTGTGATCTGATCTGAAATAAGAATCTTGATTGTTGGTTGTACCTTGTGCTTAATTTCAGCATCTTCAATCCTTCTACACAGATTTCACTGAAACAAGAGAATGAAATCTTTTTTGAAAACACAGCTACACCATTCTGTTGGGAACAACTAAGATGATGCAATAATAAAAAAACATGATATTAAGTCCATTTGATAGGAACTAATATAAACCAAATTCTAACATGATTATATGTAATATATACATGGAAAAGAACGAAAAAACTTAATACCTGATATCTGAAACTAAAATATAGGTTTTAAATGCAACAGTGAAAGAAAATGGTTTTCGATATGTGTTTGTATTTCTGACACGAGATGTTAACAGCAAGCTTGCTACATTGCTATTAAGGGACATTTTCGGCAATGTAATGCTATACAAACTAAAAAGATATACACAAATATGATAAACATCAAATTCCAACTAAGTAGAGTTGCATCTTGCCTTTCATAATTCTTTAAGACTAATGAAAACCCTGCGCCGATAATTCTTGTGACCTGATCAAATAAAAGTCAAAAAACTAATATACAAATCTAATTATTAGAAGAATTAATGTTCGTTGCAGATAATACCTCAGGCTAATAGACAATCCTTGATCCTATGAACTAGAGAGTATATCATCACAATTTCATCTAACATATCATGTCATGTAATGTATTTTTTGTCAGTATATTTTCACATAGAAAAAAAAGTGAAATAAATAAAAATTGTAAGTACCAATAATGATGTATGATTTCCAGTGAGCTGGAGCTTGTAGACTATCTCGTATTGAAATATGAAGAACCTCAAGCACAATATAGTTTCAAGTACACGCCCTCTGATTTTCTGGATATGTGTCTGTTCATCCCGCCAAGATTCCCAACTATTGTCTCCTTTCACTCCAACTCCACCTTTATACATAAGCCAATTAATCCAATCATCAAAATCTTCCACAGCTCTGTTGACATCACATCCGAATCATCATATCTTATAATATAGATTCATGAATTTGGAAAAAGAAAATAAAATAATTGGAAGCATACTTCTGCCATTCGAAGCTAGATGGGTTGAAGATATATGGTATAAACAACCATTTTCCTACTTATTATCCAGCCCCAACTCCCAAATATAAGCACTAGACCCCAATAAAAGCAACAGGGTCTCACTTGACCACCTCCACTGTCCCTATCCCTGTCCCACATAATAGATCCCTTTCATTAAATTAATTATTAATACAAAACAAGAAACACAAACCAGTTAATCAGTCACATACATAATCTCAATAAATAATACATAACAAATTTGTTTTTCATTTTTCCCTAAAAGCTCAATCAGGTGGAGGGAGGGGGGCTATAGTTTGATCAATATTTTTGTCTAATTTATTTTTTCCTATATACAAAAAACTATAGCTCTCAAATATTACACGACACTGTGTGTGGTTGGGTGGCTGACATCAGCACACAACCTCCCTCCAATGACCAATGACTACTGACCCTTGCCTTTCTTTTTATCGTATCATGTTCATGTCCATGTCCAATTCAAAAAATTAAATAAAAAGGAATTGAGAGAGAGAGAGAGAGAGGATAGGTACCTGTAATATTAATTCATCAGGGATATGGGGAAGGACTTCACGAACGGTTTCAACCATGGCGATTATGTTTGACAAGTCAACATCCGGGACAAGTGGAGTTGGCATGGTTCTGATAAGGGACCCACCCCCACCCCGAGTAGTGTGTCCTCCTTGGTGTCTTACAATACTTGTGAAAGGATTTGGATTGTTTGAAGAAGAAGTGGATGTAGATGTGCTGGCCTGAGAAGGATGTACATGCCACAGGTTCCAAGCAGCATCTTCAAGGGCAATTTGGGCATACATTTCACCAATAGCTGCCAGGTGTCTCATCATCATCTAGACTCTTCCTAAACCCACCGATCTCGATGGACCCCCTCCCAATCAAATCCCAACCAACCTGAATCCGCCTCTAACCTCCTATCCCCCCTCTCCCCCCCCCCCAAAAAAAAAAAGCAAAAGGTTTAGTTAACACTCTTCCACTCCCACAGTGAACCTGCACACATCCATTCCCATAATTTGGTTAACAAGTCAATGTGACTCAACAGAACAGAATGATAAAAATCAGAGTCTTGCATGCTGCAGACATATCTAAAAGTTTCGATATTTTGGAATTTGGAATTTATGAAAGCATATAAGCCCATTAACATCTTAGAAATATAATGTCATCTCAGCGATTAAACAAAAGTATTTTGACTTCTGTCATATTATTAATTTTTATATTTCTATTTGGCAAAAAACTTTTATCAAAGAACCTTTTCAATGGTGAACCTTTTATAAAGCTTTTCTCAAAAGTTAATCAAATTATCTTTTTATCTATCTTAAATGTTCTATTAAATCCACTCGTACAATTTATAATTTTACCAACATATGTAGTATTTTCGGAGAAAAAAACCCTTACATGAAATTATTATTAAAATTTAAAAAAAAACATTATTCAACATTATAATGAAAAAACGATAAAAGATTATGTAACTGCATAATTTTTATTTTGTTTATTAAATAAATTAATTAACTAAATACAAAGCCTAAAATAAATCTAATATCTAAATATAGTTGGTGTATAAATAAAGAGCTAGAAAATGTAAATATCAAATGTGACAGAGCTTAAAAGACAAATAAAAGGTTAGGGAAAATAAGTGTTTAGTCTTCTTCTCCAATGGTAAGCTTTTTCAAATAGTAAAAAGCTTTAAAAAAAACTATCATTGGAGATGATCTCATAAAAAAACATAAAGAAAATTGAAGAGAAAAAACAAAAACTGGATAGAGAGAAGAGCTAAATTAGAAGGATCTTAAACCAAAGTTAAAAAAATTAATAATCTGATCTTTAATAAAAGTAAAACAGCTATGCCTATCTATGTTAATTTATAAAGTTGACATTTAGTATGATTCATATGGTTTATTAGTATGATTCATATGGTTTATTTAGTCTAGTAAAGAAAGACTTTGTGTATACAACACTTTATCCAGACAGAAAGACTTAATATGAAAAAAATGTTTTATTGGTTTCAATTTTTACCTGTGCTGCAGCAGATCTTCCCCACCCAGACGACATATTAACAAGAATCCCTTGTTTTTTCTCAATCATAAGAGGAATGAAGTGACGTAACATATTTTCTACTCCTTTTAGATTAGTATCTATCACAGTTTTAAATTCCTCTTCTGGAACCTCCCATAGTTGTTTAAAAATACAACAGGGATCGGTGTACTACAACAGCCTCCAAGAGGATCACCAATAGCTATTTAAAAATAAAAAAATGAAAAATTATAGTCCAAAAAACATAACTTTATGAACACCGAGAGTTAGTAGAAGTAGAACTGCCCTGCATCAAATCCTGCTGAAACTAGAATTATATCAGGTTTAAATTCTCTTGCAACATGGATTGGTATATGGTCCCATGCTGCAATATAATCTGCATAACCACATTTTCCATCTCCCATGGAACATTTATATTGTACCCTTCACCTTCTCCCTCACCCTTCATGTCATACGATCTATCATCACCACAAGGATAAAACATCCCAATCAACAATTAGTATCTTGTTAATACCTAATTCCTGCACGAATATAAACATCATGCAAGCTAATTTGATAATTATTATGATAATGTCTTAAATAAACCTCATTTTTAAACCTTAGATATAGTATACTTAGCTAAAACTAAGCCTTCAGTTGTGCTTGCAGCCAAAAAAAAGAGATGATTTCGACTTCACAAAGTTGTAGCATCTGAAGAAAGAGGATTTAAAGCAATTAATGAAAAAAAATCCTTTAATAAAGTTAACATAAGATCGTGGTTTACAATAAGAACTTACAATAGATAAAATCTTTGAGTTTAGCCTAGAAACCGCCACCATAAGATGAGAGTCTTTGCATTGAGGAAGTTTCATCTTGAACCAATCAAAGAACACCACCTTATTTGCGAAGATCCTGTAGAAGGATAGAATGAGTATTGTTATTAGAAAGCGGAAGATAGATACAATTAAAGATAAAAAATGACACAATAAACAAGATAAAAATGGAAGAAAATATTTCTTACTTTAGGCGAGTGGCACCAAATCTCTCTGCAAACAACTGGAGGTCAGCTACTGGGTCATGGTTAAAACTAGCAGCAGTGGCACGAGCACAAGCTGTATTCAAATCCTGCTTCACAGCTATCAGCCTTACATCAATTTCCCTCAAAAGCTCCTTCCTGTAAAAAAAAGGAAACGAATAGTCAACTCAACAGTCAACACAGATTGCAACAAAACCAAAAAAAGATAGCACATTCAATAAAATTTAACTATACTTTATTGCATCAGCCCTAGTTGTTGTGCTTGATCTACCATCACCTATGTTACTCGATGGTTGATCAGATGATCCCTGAAATTAACATGAAACCTTTAGTTAAATGAACACCCTTAATTATATATGTATATGAACAATTATACATAGTTTAAAAATTAAAACCACATACATGTGAAATATATTTTACGAGCTACTTCTAGTTGAGACATCTCAGCATCAAAGGTGATCACTAGTTCAACAATTTTAGGTGTACTTACAAAATGAACAAACCTAATGACAAAAGCTATCAATTATATGATTATATCCAAATTTCAAACGTATAAGCTTTAAATTTTGTATAATGACACTACCTCTCAAGTGTTCCCTTTGTGCACCATGAGTCCACATTTTTACGTTTATTTACTTCAAGCTTAATGAATTGAGCTGAGGATCCAACTTGTTCCTCCACAACCTTCAAATGTGTCAAAATTGGCTTCACTAAACCCGATGCAAGCTTTTCAGTGTTTCCAATACTGGAAAAAATCAATTCACATCTGCACAAAAGGTGGATAAAAGGATTAAATGCAGTTAGACAAAATCATCAAAACAAATTGTACTATTAAGTATTAAAAATTGAAGTTACCTTGAATGTTTTGGTGAGAGTTGGAATGATGAGTAATCAAGAGGCATGTCCAATTCCATCTTTTTTTTAACATAGGATACAAGATATCAGTAAGTAGCCTCAAAGATCCCTAAAAAACAACGTGAATTATTTACGTTAAAAAGATTAAATGAATTGTTCATAGTTGGTTCGCCATTTTGTGTACTAAAGATCCTACTTTGCTAATCAAACCAAAATGTGAATCATTTGACCTAATAAAGACTAAAAACGCGATACACCTGAAATGAAAAGTTGCCTCATATCTGATTCTACACAGAAGAATCGAAATGCTCATCAATTGGTTGTTGAAGCAAAAATTTCCAAATTCACTTTTTTTGTGCTAAAATCATTTTTCTATGGAGAGTGATTTCAATCAGGTAAATCAAGTAATTCTCATAAACATTGATCATAAACTTTTTTAATTTCTTCAGATACAACACAAATGGAAGAACTCACATGGAGTCGTGTTTGGTAAATCGGATCTGACTAGCAAACCATGGGAAGGCAAGAAGTAGGCGATACGGAGAACATTGGTTAGAAGAGTAAGTCGATGACTGAGAATGAGTTGTAGTGGTGTTGTTGAGATGTGTCGAGATCATGATAAACATACCTTAATCAGCCCTAGGGCTTGGAAACTTGAGCAATCGTTCCAGTCTCCAGTGAGGTGAGGTGAGCCTAAGGTCTCTGGTGGAAAGAGGTGAGTTGAGGTCACTTGCAGGTGAGGAGAGTTGAGGTAGAGAACGTTGCAAAGAGCACTCCATGAAAAAAGCCCTAGATAATGGCCCCTGTGATTTTTTGATAAGATAAATAATCTGTTCAATGAAGACGAGGGTTGGAAGACGATGTTCAATGAAGTTTTCAACAGTGAGGGCGAGAACGTTCATCCAGAAAACCATACATGTGCATCCTCCTCATGAGAGCTTCGCCTTCGAAGATTCTTCATGGATCTTTGTCCTCAAGAGTTAGAAGCATTCTCACATCATTACGGATTTTTCTGAGTCGTTCCTTTTCAACTTTGCATCGTAGACTGTATTCTCTGACCAATTTCAACTTTGCATCGTAGTCATTCCTTTTCATTTGAGCATCGATAATTAGGGCAAGAGGGAAAGGAGGGCAAGAGGGAAATGAGAAAAAAGGAAGGCGGTGTTTTTAATTTTTTAGGTTTTCATTTTCCCCCTGGTTATTAAGGGATGGAACGCGCGTTCCATTAAAATTTATAAAGCGACATCCATAGACGACGCCTATTTATAATAGGTGCCCTCCGTGTTTTTTTTTTTTTTTTGGATTACACACTAATTTAAGAGCGCACAGTAATACGCGACCTAAATCATTAAACTTTTTTAATAGATGACACTTTTTTAATGTCACTCTCTTTTAAGTAACGTAAATCAGTGAGTGTCGTGGTTTGCGCGTCGTAAAAGGCTATTTTTCTAGTAGTGCTTGGGCGATGAGAAACTCTCCCTATTTGGTAAACTCTTGACATTTCCATAAATAACATAACTAAGAATCATATCCATTCATTGTAGAAATATTCAAACATCAATTTTCATAACGATTTCATTGCAAGGAAGTAAACAAATAAATAAATAAGTCAAACAAAATTTATCTTATTTATAAAAGCAGCGGAAAAACATTTGTCCTTACAATGCAAAATCTATTGAAAACTATGTAAAAAAAGAAAATTTCTAACAACTTTATCATAACTATCTAAGCTCAAAATCCAATCTTCAAGTCCATGAGATCGAGATCCATCTCTTGTGATTAGATTCATCTTGCTCTCTTATCAAGCTTCCTTTCTTTTCACCGATCCTTCAAAACATTCAAATGCAATCTTATCACATCATGTATTAAGAATCAATGAATAGGAACTTAATGGAGTTAGATAGTGGATTCTTACCTAAAGCGTAGTCATACTTTTGACTCTCCCATCTCTTAGATCTCTTAGGTAAATAGGGCTACTTCGTCTCCAATGCCCCTTCTCTTGGCAATAAAAGCAAATTGACTCCTTTGGAACAACACATGGAACTACTTCAGACATCGCCTTTCTCTTATGATCAAACTTTTCGATCATTGCATGTCTTTCATTGCCATTGTCTATATCCATAGAGGTCTTGAAGGCAGATTCACCAATCAACTTTGCTTTTCTATTGCGCCAAACCATTGTTGATTCAGCAGCAATAAGCATGTAGGTGAGATCTATAAGTGTCACGTCGTGGTTCATCATATAGTACTCTCTTACGAACTCACTATACGAGTTAGGAAGTGACTGAAGAAACCAATCAACAGCCATCTCTTCACCGACAACGGATCCCATCATTCTTAACCTATCAATGTGTGACTTCATCCCTAAGACGTGTGCACACACCGACTTGCCCTCTTTATGTTTACTTGCCAAAAGGGCTTGAGTGATATTGAACCTTTCAATTTTACAATCTTGTGGTTAGGGAGAATAATTGGAGGAGGAGGAGGAAGTGAAGCATGATTTCTTGTTCCTCGATCGAATCGTGGAATATCATCTTCATGTGGAATGCTTGTTCCACGGGATTTGAGAAGACCATAGTTGTCGAACTTTGACATCGGGAGAAAAACGAATTCAAGTTAGTTGATTGATTGAGTCCTTGGTAAATCACCCAAATGAAATTCCAAGGCTAGGACCCAACACAATATCCTACAACTCGGGAGAGGGATGCCGTAACCCAAATTGCAGAACATTTGAAGGTAAGTGAATGACGATTCACTAATTTCCACCATGAAAAATGAAAAAGAAATTTAAGTTTTAAATCTATGAAAACTCCTAGATCCTTTGAGATTCATTGAACATTTCAATGGCATGTTTAAATCTCGATATGCCCCTTTGTTTGTGACTGGGATGCCGAGGATCACAAAGCGGGTGTGAATAACCATGCAAACTACATGGTGCCCTCACATGTTACAATCACCTATTCGATGTGCCGGTAAACCACACACGCTCCACCGAACTATGACAAACATTGAGTCACCCTTTGCTACCTTTGCTTAGAACCATTTAGTGTGCCGGTAAACCACACACGCTCCACTAACGTCTTCGCAAGGGCACAAAGTGTAATTTCATGGAATTGCATCAATTCACTTTTGCCTAAGTAACTAAGATTGGGAATTTAAAAAACATTTAGTTACTTTGTATTTCATTATACTTATAATGGAAGGTTTCGTCCTATCCTACCCGTTCGGCTAACGACCCTCCACTAGTCAAGAGTGCGGTGGGTAAGAGTGGATACCCATTCAATCGCCATTTTATAGGCAATTTCCTTAAACACCCCTTATAGACCAGCTTCGTGAATGAGGCCTACTAACGGTAAGACTGACTTTACTCATACATATATATAATGTTATACTTTTAATGTTATATATAGTATAGGGTGTATTTTATACTTTTAAAATACTATATGGTTAACTTTAACAATTACACTTTTAATTCAATTAAATGGTTAACCTGAACCTTTATGGATTTATTAAATCTCTTTTAATTATACTCCTTAATTAATTAATAAAACCATAAGGGTGTGATTTGAACTTTTCAAAACATTACTAGCGTTTTAGAATTTAACATTCTTAATTAAACTTTTAATCAACTTTTAAATTCCAAAACTTGATGGCAAGTTTCGAAACCTTTTTCAAAACATTAGGGTTTTAACTATTTAAATTTCAAAATTCCAAAACTTTTAGGTTCAAATTTAAACTATAAAACCTAAAGGGGAAAATATGAAACCTTTCATAACAACAAGGATCAAATAACAAATAATTAACATATAATCACATAATTATCCATATTTGATTTATTTAATGATTTCTTGCAAAACAATTTATCAATTTACTCAAAATAATTAATCAATTATCTTATAAGGAAACAATTATCTTGTTAATTGATAATTATCTTTAATTAGATCAAGAATATAGTCATATATATCATAAAATCGGATTTATATTGATCTAACATGATAAGGTAACTATCCATATGCAAAAACAGCAAGAAATCCCGAGATAAGCATTATCTGACGCTCGAACTCGCCGAGTACCACACTGTACTCGCCGAGTTGAGGTCTACTCGCCGAGTACACTGTGGTACTCGCCGAGTTCCTCAGCCATAAAGCCCAAAAAACGATTTTCCAGTTATACAATGCATCAATACAATTGAAACCAAGCTAGGCTCTGATACCACTGATGGGTTTTGGTCATAAGACATCCTATGTGCTCATACAAACCCTAATGCTTGGATCTAGGTTTCTCTATTGTACATGCTTTGAATCCAAGACTATAAACCCTAATTCTAGCATTCAAGTAATCATATTAATATGTAATTAGGTTTAAGATCATACCTTGATTGTTATGTAGCAATAACAATCCCAAATCTCCTTGTAATGACTTTGGAATGCTTAGAGTCACAAGTGTCACTCCTCTAATGGCTTACAAACACCATAAGCAAGTGGAGAAGGTATAAAGAGAGAGGTGAGAGGTTAGAATTCGTATCTAGGACCTCTTGGGAAGGGATACACGAATTCATGACCCTAGGGGTGTTTATATAGGTGTAGAGATAGGGTTTCAGTCATTATCCTTATCTAGTTGATTATCCATTAAGCAACCAATAAGATAATCCTTGAATCCTTATCATACTCGAATTCTAAGGCTTTCCAACCTTTAATTCGTACACCATATAAATAAGATAATCCTTACCTTATTTTGTAACTATCACATAATTACAAATCAGCCCCTCTAGTTTAATTAATTACATTTGATCACAAAACTAATTCTTAATTCATTATTGACCAATATTAATTAAACAAATATGATTTCTCCTTTAATATATTATTCCTATAACATATTAATAAATCATATTATCCTTTCTCTCTTTATTCATTTCTCCAATCAAGTTGCTTTGGTGAAGGCAACCCAAAAGGACCATGCACCATCGGGTCAAGTACATACCAAAATAGTTATGGACTTAGACACTAATCCAACATCTACAACCCAATTCCGTGTCAACCTTAATTCACTACTTACTTCT